TCCATCATCCATCCATCCACCTACCCATCCATCCATTCATCCACCCATCCATCTGCCCATCCACCCATCCATCCATCCATCCATCCATCCATCCACCTATTATCTTTAGCTTGTTCCAGAGTCAAGTCACAGGGCAGCAGTTTGAGCAGGGAGGCCCAGACATCTCCTTCCACAGCCACCTCATCCAGCTCTTATAAGAAAACCCCAAAGTGTTCCCAGGCCAACCGAGAGACACAGTCTTTCCAGCGTGTCCTGGGTCTTCCCGGGATCTCTTCTCAGTTGGACATGCCTGGAGCACCTCCCTATGGAGGTGCCCAGGAAGCATTCATACCAGATGCCTGAACCACCTCAACTGGCTCCTCTTTATGTGGAGGAGCAGTGGTTCTCCTCAAGTCTCTCCTGAATACCGGTAATTGAACTTCTCACCCTAACTCATGAACAAAACCCTGAGATACTTGAACTCCTCTCTTTGAGGCAGATTCTCATTCCCAATGTGGAAGAGAGGGCAATCCACCCTTTTCCGACTGAAAAAGGTAGATTGTCCTAAAATGAAATGGAGTTTAATTTGTGCTGCTTACATTTTAATTTGTTTCTATCATTTTCAGATATTATCACAAACTGCCAAAGTTGCACTGCTTAAAGGAACACTAGGCCTTTAATTTAGTAAATAAACTAGCCCCTGTTGTGGTTTATCTGTGTGCAATTTACAACTACTTTAAAAAAAACTGCACAGATTAGGTTATGACTGCAGTTTTATAAATATTTTGTCCAAAATATAATGTTTATATTAGCATTTCGCTGCATTTGTTTGAAAATATGATTTTTTTGTGTCAAGCTCAGAAAAATGTATACATATGCAAAGCACGCCTCACCAACTTAAACATTCTCACAGCTGTGTGCATATTCCACACCAAGTATTAGAAAACTGTAAAACTATATAAACAAAGTAACATCCTACCTGTTGTTGTCCTGTTCTGTATGTTTACAAGCTTGTTCGATTTTTTGTAGCGCGGTTCTTCTCATGACTAAACCTGAAAAAACAGAACAATTTCACGGACATTTTTTTACAGATACAGGAGCATTTAAAAAAAATATTTGAATATTGTGAAAAAGTTGAACATTTTTGTTAATCATTTCAGAAAGTGAAACTCGTATATTCTATAGATTCATTACACAGAGTAAAATATTTCAAGTCTTTATTTCTTGTCATTTTGATGATTATGTCTTACAAATAATGAAAAACTCAAATTCAATGTCTCAGAAAATGAGAACATTGTGAAGAGGTTCAATATTGTAAACCCTAATCAGCTGATTAACTCCTAGACGTGAGCTACAAATGTCTCGTTCCTCAAGTGAAGCCACTCCTGAACCAGAGACAACGTCAGCATCTTACCTGGCTGAGACAAAGATCTGGACTGTTGCTCAGTGGTCCAACGTCCTCTTTTCAGATTAAAGTAAATTCTCAAGTCATTTGGAGATCAAGGTCCCAGAGTCTGGAAGAAGAGCGGAGAGGCCCACAATCCACATTGTTTGAAGTCCAGAGTGAAGTTTCCACAGTCAGTGATGGTTTGGGTCCATGTCCTCTGCTGATGTTGGTCCACTGTGTTTTCTGGAGTCCACAGTCAGGATCTACTAGGACATTTTAGAGACTTCCTGCTGCTGATGAGCTTTATGGAGATGCTGGTTTCATTTTCCAACAGGACTTGTCTCCTGCCCTCACTGACAAAGGTACCAAAAGCTGGCTGTGGAATATTCTCATTTTCTGAGACACTAAGTTTTGGCTTTTTATTATCTGTAAGCCATGATCATCAAAATTACAAGAAATAGAGGCTTGAAATATTTCACTGTCTGGAATGAATCTATATGAGTTTCACTTTTTTTTTTTTTACTTTTTCCAAGATATTCTAATTTTTTGGGATGCACCTGTACTGTATTCAGTTTATACTACAGCACTTTTAATAACACATTACCCTCCAACGTGTTTGTACCTTGGATCATCTCCACTCTTCTTTTAGCAAAAGAAAGTCTCTGGGTGCAGCTGTCGAGTCGAGCTTTAGCTGCATCCACCTCCGTCAGCTTGCTTTCAAACTCCTGACTGAACCTGTAAAGTCAGGAATTAATTTGCAGGACATGAGAATTATTTGTGATTAAAATGATACAACCAAAAAAAAAAAAAATCCCTGATGAAATAGTTATACCTCTGCAGAGCTGATGTTAAAGTTTTAATCTCAGCCTCTGTTTTCTGGTTCTGCGACTTCAGCTCAGCGTTTTCTTTCTGAATCTCAGCCAAGTTCTGTTTTAATACCTGGCAGGGAAAAACACACATCTTTAAGAGAGTCTCTAACAGAAATCAGATTTACTGTTTATACTGGAATGCTCTTTTTTTATAGTTTTTCTTTAAATGTCTACAGAACCAACAGTTTTGCACAGTCAGCACCATCTGATGTTCATCGTTTACCTAAATAGACCCAAAGTTACTGCGCGTCATCAACTTTCCAGACAACAGCGTAAATCACATCCGTCGTTCTTGTGCTAACCTCTTTCTCCACTCTCTCCAGGTCCAGCTCAGCCATCCTGTCGTGCAGACTGTGTTGGAGCACGGTGGTTCTGTGCTGCTCCTGCTGGAGCTGCTGCTCCGTGAATTTGACCTGAAACAAACACGTTAACGTTCCTTTTCACATTCGGACACGTCTGATTAACCAGCGGCTGCTTCCATACGTCTGAAAGAAGTCCGTCCTTCTCTCTTCTTATCTCAATATCCTTGGAGCGAAGCTGGATGCATAACTTGAACACTTTCTCTCGCCACAGATGAAGAACTTGAAGAACGTCGGATTTGTTCTTCATAAGTGGATCTGTTGAGCTCTGATGAAACACACACACACCCACACACACCACTTCAGCTACCAGTACAGAGAGTATGTGAGCTGAGAAGCATTCTGTAGAACTCTTCAGGGGTTTCAGTACATAAGAGAAAAATAATGAAGCTTTTGCATAAACTGTCTGGAATACTTTACATATATAACGTTTCATCCAATCTCATTCAATGTGTTGTGTAAAACAAGTAAATATTATAAGACGTTAGCTTCTTTTCCTAATAAAATATTCCCCGTTCTCCTCTGAACATTTGTATGGAGCCTGTTAATGAATTTACTGGAAAATCATGATCTGGTTATCTTCAATAGCATTTCACTCACAAGAATTTAGAAACTCTGGTCAGTAAATCAAAAAACAGAACATGAGTAGAGTTTAAAATAAAAAAATTAAAAAAACTCCATTCAGTGTTTCCCCTAGATCAGTTCCCTTGGCGGGGCGCTCGTCACATTTTATTTTTGTCGACGGGGTGGTGGTGGAGGACGGAGTCACGTCTGTGTTGCCCGCCTGCTAGCTTAGCGCTACGTTGTTGCTGGTTTTTATCAACGAGGGTGGGGGCTGGAGCGGTACGTCAGTAGCATTTTTGCTAGCGCGTTTGTATTGTGCCCCGTGCTACATCAATGCTGACAGCTGTCAACGGGGGTGGGGGGGCTTGGTGTTGGTAGGCAGGGTGCTCGGTTCTGTTAATGGGGTGGGGCGCCCCGCTTGTATATTGGTAGAGGAAACACTGCCCTTTCAGACCAAGCCGCATGTAATCAAGGCATCCTGTTTGGCTACCGGATCTGAAGGTTCTGGTGGGCTGAGGGTTTTCCCTGAACTCATTTTGGTCTTAAAAATTGCCATAAAATAAATATTTTATTTACTTTTTAAAAAATTAAACAAGTGGAGGTTTGTTTCTTTTTTCTTTTCAAAACTAAAGGCTCTCAAAGAGTTAAAATTTTAAAAAGTAATCTAAATTTGATATTGTTATATCAGTGTGACGTAGCTCTAAAAAACTGACTGCTTTATGGTGGAATAAATATTTAAAACGGTTACTTGAAGCCATTATTAATTCATCTAAGCAACACTTGTCATACAGTTAAAGGACCTTTCAGGGGTTAAATGCTCGAAAATACCTAATTGTGTCACAAAAGCGCAACCGTGACTCAAAAACCTCAAAGTGAACTGCACCTGGTGAGTCTTTGTTGAGCAATTTCTAAAGCAAAGTGCAGTAATAGCTCACCTCCAGTGTAACTTTTTACATTTTCATCAGAGCACCCCAGGAAAGCCTGGTTCTTTTTAATGATTTTAACTCAGTGTGGTGTGAGATAGGTGTTTTTACATTCCATGAAGATTTTTATCCAGAGGAAAACTACTCTTAAAATCATTACAGCTAATAACTCGAGATGCTCAGACTGGAAGAAGCAGTCCCTGCTGCTCATCATGGTATGAACAAAGGCTTCAAGTCTGACTTGTCATGAGAAGAAATTGTAAAAATAAAGAAAAATCTTCACCTTTTTAGCCATTTTCTCTTCTTGAAGGGTGAGTATCTCATTCACTGAGTTGAGCCTGACGGTCAAAAGCTCTGTTGTCGTCTGAAGAGCAGCTTTTTCTTTAATCAGTCTCTAAAAAATGAACAACACAAATTAAAGGCCTGGTATTCCTTAAATGAGTTTGAATTCAAGATGGCAGCCACAGCTACATCTTAATGCTCATAGGAAGTATTGAGGAGGACTCTCAGCTACTATCGCACCACAATTTAGCTCAAGATCTGTAAAGGTGACTGAGTTGTAGCCATGTTTTGTATTAGCTAATGATGTTTAGCTGTGGTGGCCATCTTGAATTGGGACGACTCCAAAAGGTTATCTGCTGCATATTCAGTGATGGGAAATTCATTAAACTCAGTGCTTCATGAGATATTTTATTAACCGACAAACAGGAAAGATGCTAATGTTTTATGAAAAGATCTTACAGAATGTGTAGCACTCTGAGTATGTGTTGGTGATGACTCTCGGATACTACCACACAAATCTTTAGCTCATTGTGTGTAAAACTGGCTGAATTATAGCTGTTTATATGGTCCCTATGGTCAGTTATAGTTATAGTCTGTGGCAGTCATCTTGAATTGGATGAACTCTAAAAGTTAATCAGTTTTAGATGTTCATTTAACCTCCTAGGACCTGGCATCCACATGTGCAAGAGTTTGGGTCTTAGGAGAATACTTTCTGTTAGCTTCATTAAAATACATTCTGGTTCATAAGATATTTTGCTAACCTTCGGTAACGGGCAATAAAATGGATGTTATATGCTGCTGTTTTTCTTTCTGCTGCTCCCTTCTGCAGGGTTCCCCACAACGAGCCAACACATGAAAGATTTGGTTATTTCACGTCAGATACCCTCCCTGGTGCAAACTGGACTCAAACTCACAGCCTCAGGATTACAAGACTAAGCTAATCAATTAGGCTTCAACTTCAGCATAATAAGAAATCATTTAAATGTCCCAGTAATGATGGACCAACATCACAGCAGGTTAGTTCAGTCGGTATAGTTTCTTCTTTTTTTTTCTTCACCTCAACAGCCTCGTTCAGTCGTTCCTTTTCTTCTTTCTCCGGGGCGAACTGGCCGATGTAATTTCTGAGGCTGTGCAGCGTTGCAGATTGCGTCTCAAAAGCTTGTCCCATTTGGCTGAAAAATGAGCAACATTATCAAAAAAACAAAACAATTCAAAGCAGTGAATCTGACTGCAAAAGTGCTGTAGCTCTGTTTCGTTTTAGATTTAATAGGACACCTTAAATGCTCTTTGAGCCTGTCTCTCTCAGCCGATGCCTCTTTCAGAGCATTTTTCAGCTGCAGCGTCTCTGAAGTCCTGGACTGAAGCATGTCCTGGAGTTCACCGTTCACTTTTCTTGCTGCATCCAACTCTGTATGGTGGGATGTGTTCAATTGTTGCAGCTAAAAGCAAAAAGAAAACAAGTAGGAAACCTTTAATGATGTCATTGACCCCCAAAGTGAAGGGCTCGCTTTAGTTGCTTCCCAGTCGAGAAACGTCACAGCTCAGCGAAGTTTACGCCAACGATATGTTTCTAGACAGTCTTTGTCTGAAGGGAAACCTTTAACATGTATATAGTTTACTATAGTTTAGATTTCCTCTCTGAGATCCTGCCATTTATACCTGCACTTCCTGTTTCTGCTTCATTTCTTCCAGTTGTTCCAACAGTCTGAGAACCTGCTGTTTGTTCTCCTCAGCCTGCAACCTGCTCATTTCAGCCTGAAGAGCGAGCTCCCTGGATTCCTCTTTACTTCTCTCTGCATCTCCCCTCAGCTTCTTTGTTTCCTCGTTAGACTCTTCTTTCAAGTTGTCAAGCTGTAAGAAGCAGAAATAATACACAAATCAAATCTTAGTTGAGGAAACAAACTGCCAAACTGTGTAAAAACACCTGATCCAAACAGCAAAAAACAAGTTAGAAGATGGCAGTGGGTCTCAGGTGATTCTTGTCTATGTGAGAGAGGAAATTAAATGTTTTGTCAGTAAACAACATTACCTGTAACCTCATTTTTTCTGTTTGTGCGCTGTAGAGACTGAGCTCCTCTCTGACTTGGCTCAGTTCAGTCTTCGCCCTGGATAAATCTTCACACGTCACTTCCAGCTCATGACGGCTTCTGTTACACAAAGATTAGATCAAGTTAAGCTCGGTTTCACCCGCCGCTGAAATGCAAAGACAGACGATAATGTTTTTGCCTGTGTTTATGTGCATGGCCGTCACAGCCGACTGGTCTTAGCAAACATAAAAATGGACTGTATTTAACTAATTTTACAAATAACCAGTTAAAATTTGGTGTGGTGCAAGGTGAGAGTCATTCACAGCACATACAGCCATCTTTTAGAGAGCGTAGACCAAACTATAAAAAGATGTACGTCTACAATGACACAAGTTAATCCGATACCTGTTCAAGGTCGTGTCTTTGTCTCTCATTTCTTCCCTGTTCCTCACTGCGCTCTCCTTCAAGGCCTCCACCTGACTCCTCAACCTCTCAGCTTCAGCTTTGTGCCTCTCCGCCTCCAGGCGCCACTCTGACTCCCATCCGGACCGCTCCTCCTTACGTTCAGCAGATCTGTTTTTGAGAAGATGAGCTTTTTAGATACCCAAAGTGTCCCACAGCCGACCAGTAATAATTTGGCTTGTGACTACACAAAACATTCAGTGGAAATACCTCATCTTGTGGTCTGACAGGTGATCTACAGACGTTTCACCTCTCATGATGTTCCCTTGTAGCATCATGATCCTCTGGTTTTCCTTTTTCAACTCTAATATTTCTTGTTGTGCCTGAGAGATGGCCAGCCATGCATGGGCAGGGAGGGGATCCCCTGCTGATGTTGGTCCTGGATTATACCAGGACATGGGGGGTGATGGTCCTGGTGGTCTGTGTGATCCAGAAGATGGGACAGTCGCGGCAAAATGTGACGGAGGGACAAGGTTCCCCTGGATATTTCCTAAATAAGACCCAAGACATGAAGACAGTTAATAAAAAATGGATAAACGTGCCCTTTCGAATAATCCTAATCATAAAGCACAAGCTGGCCAGTGAGGTTTAGGTTAGGTTTGGTCATAGCAAACAAAAGTGGAGCAATAACTCACAACTTACTCGGAGAAGTGAAGTCAGTGGGCACTTTGAGCTTTTCTTTTCCAAACATATGTCTCTCCATGTTCAGCAGAAACGACCGGAAGCCTAATATAAAATACAAAACTCCCTAAATTGTTTGAGACGGATTTAGCTAATTCTTTTATTTTTTAACTTCTCCCGCGAGGCACGTCTTCGTTGCCTTAGTTACACGATACAAAAGTAAACCCCGACGATTTCAAACTTTTTGGTCTCCAACGTTTGTCAATTGTCGATTAATCTTAAAACTACGCTTCATTAAACACAAATTACAACTGAATTTATGAAAAATGATCTTGATAATGTTTAAAACGTAAAGGAGGACCGTCACAAAACAGCGCGGTGCATCACGGGAAAACGGAAAAAAGGAAGCTCGAAACAAAATCTTGGTATTCCTTTTCCCTAAGTGTTGTCTCGCAGGTAGTATAAATCTACGAGCTACGCCGAATAGCTTTAATCGAAGTTATTCCAATGTAGTGTTTTTTAACCAGACGTGGATAAAGTACTGTTCAAGTTATCAGTTTTTTTCTGATACACCAAATTCAGGAAGTTAGTGTGGTTACTTCATCACAGGGGCGCCACCAAGATGGGGGGCCAGGCGGGCAATGGCCACCTCCAAAAAAGTAATGGTGACCCCCTCACTGGCCCACCATTGTTAGACAGTTTTATCCTCTTAATATCCTGATGCATGCTCAATAATCCAGGAAGAAAAATCTAAAAAAAAGTTAAATCTGGTCCTCTGGACATTCAAAAAAACAAAACAAAGCAAAACAACAAAAAAATGTAGAAACGTTTCGTCTCTCATCCGAGAGACTTCCTCAGTCTGACTGAGACTTAGACTGAGGAAGTCTCTCGGATGAGAGACGAAACGTTTCTAATTTTTTTTGTTGTTTTGCTTTGTTTTGTTTTTTTGAATGTCCAGAGGACCAGATTTAACTTTTTTTAGATTTATCCTCTTAAGTCCCAAGCTTTTGCTTGCTGTGCATTTTTTATTTCCCCAGGCTTTTTAGAATTAGTAGAGCTTCCTAAATATGACAACAGCATAATTCTAAAATTAATTCATGGCTTTTGGTTTTGATGTGCCACCCCAGGACATTCAGTGGTCCCCACAAGGTCGCCCCATTTAAAATATCCTAGAGATGCCACTGCTTATCAATTATAAACAAGCTTGGGTGTGATTGTCTCAACATTTTTTTTTCATTCAACCTTTATTTAGACAAGTAATCCCATTGAGCCTCGAGGACTCATTTACAAGAGAGACCTGAATCCTAAACCTAATCAAACCTTCTCATTTTATGAGAACATGCTGGTTTTTTATTGTATGCATCATGTTAGTATTAAATAATTTTGTGGAAATGGTTTGATAATAAATAGCTCAAAGACTGAGCATAAATGCCACCTTTTTTATTTTTATTTTTTTCAAATAGGGGCTCTTAAAAGTTTTCAGTGCAAACTACAAAATCAAACATAAAAAATGTTATTCTTAACTTTGTCAAACAGTGCAGAGTGAAAGAATTTACTTCAGTACACCAAAGTCCATGCTCAGTAATCCATGTATAAAATCCATCAATGTTCAGTCAGTTCATCTGGACGGTTACTTTTTTGTACCGAGACGTTTCGCCCTCCATCCGAAGGGCTTCATCAGTCTGAGGAAACACCAAACAAAACTGATTCTCCACCAACAGTCTACTCCAACATGGAAAAAACTAGTTATGTTTGTATATTATTTATTATATTTTATATTATGTTATATTACATAACTGTTTTTTTCCACTTTGGAGTAGACTGTTGGTGGAAAATCAGTTTTCTTTGCTGTTTCCTCAGACTGATGAAGCCCTTCGGATGGAGGGCGAAACGTCTCAGCACCAAAAATAAACCGTCCTGATGACCTGACTGAACGTTGTTGGATTTACTTCAGTAGTTTTTCACATATGTTGATTCCCAGTTCTGAAATGTGGATATGCAATAAATGTAAACAACACACTCGGATGAATCCGCATATAAGATTGAGTCACGTGATTGAACTCCATTAGGCTGATTGTAGGCTGTTTAGGTAAACAAATAGGAACTGGACAAGCGAAGAGTTAAGGAGAAAATATTTAAATTAAATTATCAGTGAATCTGCTGCAGGGGCTCTATAAAGCACCATACTTTTTATGCCAATTGATCAAAGTTGAGGTGTACCCAGTAATTTACATCAAGTTACATTAGTACTTTCTTGTAAACATTGCTGAATATTTGTGCACCCCATTTGTGCTTTAACCTCATATACATTAATATATTGTTTTAAAAATAAAAATGTTGCATTCATTACAATATATCCACCATTTTGAAAGAAAGATTTAAAAAATTGCCTGTTGCTTTAATTTCCTCTGGCAACATCAGCAGCCATTTCTCTTATAGTATCCTGTTCTCTGTTGCTTGCCGCTGTGACCCACTTCCCCCTGAGGTTCATTAAAATTTAATCAAACCTAATCTATTTATGGTGTATTCAAAGAACAAAGGACATTTTAGATTGAGTCATTGACATTAGATGATCACGTAAAGATTCAAGGCATAAGAGTAGTGGTAATGGATCCATAATTATGTTGATAAATGATAAAAAAAATGATACAGGACTCTGCAAAGAAAGTTTTTTTTATTAAACAGGGAGGGCTGTGGAGCTTGAGTAATCTAACAATAAAGTATTATAGTTACTGAAGGATCGCAGTAGGAAGTATTTGACATGTTATTATTAGACTCCTGTGGTGATGCTGCGTCTTTTTTAGCATGTCTTATTCCACATTTGGCTCTTTCAAGCAAAGCAGAGAGGAATCAAAACTGACCTTAAGGTATCACATAAAAGAGATATATGTCTACCTCATCAAGGGGTTTAGGATATAATAAAGCACTGTTTTGGGGGGGACAATGGCTATCAAGACAATCCTTCCGTCCTTTTGTTAAATAAAGCAAATGTAAAGTAAAAAGAGAAGCTCTCATTATTCTCGTTGTTTTATTTAGTCTTTGTCATATAGATACAGAAAATAATTGATGAATGTAAAAATGTCTAAATATGAGATGTTTAGCAATAAAAGATGGCACAACTGGTAGAGCTGTTTTTCTGTCATTTTATGAGTGTAGTCTGTTAGCTCAACATTCTGGTCAGAATTAAACTCTGTTTCTCCCAAATGGGTTGTTAAAAGTGCTTCCTACAGCAGGTAAGATATTGATTGTTCATTACTTTTTTACTAGACGCTACTTCAAAAAAACAAAACTAATATTTTACCAGATGCCCAAACAATCTCATGTGGCTCTTTGTAGATTGATGGAGAAACTCACTGACAGTCTGAGCGCTTCTTGTGATACAATGATCTGATCCGTTCAACTCGTCAAAAGTAGGTTCAAACTCTTTTAATTTAGCACTTTTTACCACCACATCTTTTTATTTATTTGTTTGTTTATTGTCTCCCCGAAGAACCCCGGGTGTCTCAGCAAACCCCTGGTCACGGATGCTGCTTTTGCTTTATCCCCAATCAAGCTGATTCAGCCCACACAGAGGATTCCTGAAGAGAAAGTGTCCATGACTGCAAATATCTGGACTGGAAGGTGCGTATTTAATTAAAATGCCTTTGAATGCAAATGAACTTGGACTCTTTATATGTGACGAGGGTACTAACAAGCCCGGTACACACATAAAAAAAGAAATCTGATAAAATAATGAAGACGTCTGCAGATGCTTTATAAATACTTTGGTTCAAATAGAGCTTCAGCCTCTGAGCATATTGTCAAAAATAATACCTGTAACCTATTTTGAGTTTGGTGAAAGGCTTTTTCTGCTTATTGAACATTAACATAAAGCTGTTGGGCAGCATTTCTACCGAGAACTGACTCAGTCATGCATCACAGCTATGGCCACTGGGCACCATTAAAAAAAAGCCGAAGACATGAGGAGAATGTCTGCTTGGTGCACCCACAGTTTACTGTATGCTAGAGGGGCTGCTGCAGACGGTAAATGTGATGGTTTGTGGGGGATACTGTAGAGAAATTAAACTAATAGGCAATCCTTTTTTCCCAGGAGTGTGCAGGGAGCACAACCGCTCTGGTGATTCTGTGTGTGTTTTATAAAAGAAAACTTCCAGTTCCTCGCCCTGGGTTGTGTCGGCTACACATCACATGTGTACTTGTGATATTTTTTATAGCCAGCAGCAAAAAGACGAAGGCAGGCGATAATCTTTTTGTCTGTTTGTTTCTGTGATGTTAGTTAAATGTCTTGTGAACCACTGGACAAGTGGTTAACTTTTGGAGTCAACCTGATTTAAAACATACGCCACAATCAGCGTTAGAAAACAGAAAAACGCCATGCCACAGTCAGTTTTACAGTCACTGAGCTAAGATTTAGTGTGATAAAAGCTGGGAGTCATCCTCAACACAGCTCCTTCTTCGGTACACAAGGAGCAGACAGCCAGGTGTCTGGTTTGAAAATCTCAGGGTCTCGTCTCTGCTTTAGTTTTGTTGGCGGCGCAGGTCTTTGCCTCAGGTGGGGAGTTCAAGTGTGTGGACATATTGTTCACCTGTGGTCATGAGGTTTGGATCATGACAGAAAGAATGAGATCCTGGACACAAGCGGCAGATATAAGCTTCCTTCACATGATGGCCAAGTTCAGCTTTAGTGATGGAGTGAGGAGCTCCGTCATTCGGGGGGTACCTCAGAGAGCCGCTGCTCCTCCACATCGAAAGGAGTCAGTTGAGGTGGTTAATTTAATTAGGATGCCTCCATCCCTTGCTTCCCTTGCATTCTGATGATTGATGCTTCCCTTTGGAGTTTGTCCGAGCATGTCTCACTGCCAGGAATCCCTGGGACAGACCAAGAATTAGCTGGAGAGATGTCTTCTCTGGCATGGGAACGCCTCGGGGTCCCCCCAGGACAAACTGGAGAGTCTTCCTGGGGAGAGGGAGGTCTGGGTTTCTTTACTGGAACTTTTGCCTCCACAACTCAATAATGGATAAATAGATGAAGACATCCCCAACACACGCTCTGAGGACTATACTGTGTGAGAGATCCCTATATTATAACACAAAGTTTGTTTTCTCAGTCATCCAGGTATATAACAACAAAAAAGGTTGAATCATGTCATCTGGACTTCGTTTTTTTGTTAAAAAGAAACGTTTCGCCCCTCATCCAAGAGGCTTTGTCAGTCTGAGGCCTAGCCATCTGGTATTACCCAGAAGCCACCCTGACTCTTGTGTTTCAAGCCTGCCTCAGATACCCCTGAAGTCTGGCCTTTTCACTAATGGTTTCAAAAACACAAAGTTTGTTTTCTCAGTCATCCAGGTATATAACAACAAAAAAGGTTGAATCATGTCATCTGGACTTGGTTTTTTTGTTAAAAAGAAACGTTTTGCCCCTCATCCAAGAGGCTTTGTCAGTCTGAGGCCTAGCCATCTGGTATTACCCAGAAGCCACCCTGACTCTTGTGTTTCAAGCCTGCCTCAGATACCCCTGAAGTCTGGCCTTTTCACTAATGGTTTCAAAAACACAAAGTTTGTTTTCTCAGTCATCCAGGTATATAACAACAAAAAAGGTTGAATCATGTCATCTGGACTTCGTTTTTTT